CCCCCCCCCCCTTTTAAAACAAATGGAGAGCATAGCCTGCAATAACCCACGTAATTTTTACATTGTATAAACCATATATTTTTATCTACTAAGAACTATTTAATGTTCTATTCAGATGTGATTTTCTAGATTTGTTTTCTTTATTTCAGTACTGACACTTTCTCTGACATATATGATGATGACGATACCAGACCTTTTCCAGTAAAATCGATAAGAAATAGTGAATTACGCCAGAGATTAATGGATGAAAAAGTCCGAAAGGAGTGGAAAGAGAGGAATGATAGAAAAATAAATGAAAAATTTCACAAAATGTTTGCTGAAAAAGCTGAAAGTAGCCGAGAGTAAAAACTATAGAATTTCTGTCATTAATTTCATTATAAATATGCATTTGTTCATTTCCATTCGAAAAACAATAATGTATGTTGTGCGAGTCAATTCTTTGCCTATCAGAAACCAGTTCTCAAGTGAAGCAAGTGTATAAATGATTACTTCCATACGTTATCACCTAGCTGTAGTGCTGTATAAATGATTACTTCCATTCGTTATCACCTAACTGTAGTGCTGTATAAATGATGACTTCCATACGTTATCACCTAACTGTAGTGCTGTATAAATGATTACTTCCATACGTTATCACCTAACTGTAGTGCTGTATAAATGATGACTTCCATACGTTATCACCTAACTGTAGTCTTATTCAGTTCAACTCAAATTGTCTTGTTTTTCGTTAATATTAAAAAATCAACTTTATTAATGATGTACAGTATGTGAAGGATGGAAATATGCATTATCTGGACTCCAACATCATTGCCAGGAAGGATGTCATTACAATATTAACAGTATTTATCTATGGACTTATTTTTTGAAGGTTTTAATATTTGAAAGAATCTCCTAGCAAATTTACATTAATATTAATCTTTTGCAAAGATATACACGAAAGTTTAGAAACATGTTACTTAATATAAAATACATGATGTATCTCAATTCAGCTCTGTGTTTAGAGCATCACCTCTATATAGCTGTGATGATGAAACAGGGTATTTAGTCTTGTCTTACAGTTCTAGCTGGCATTGGTAGGCAGACTTATAGGTATGTACGCACTTATCAGGACATGTTGTAGCAAGCTAGGGAATGACATTTCAGGACATGGAGCAAGCTAGGGAATGACATTTCAGGACATGTTGGAGCAAGCTAGGGAATGACATTTCAGGACATGGAGCAAGCTAGGGAATGACATTTCAGGACATGTAGCACGCTAGGGAATGACATTTCAGGACATGTAGCACGCTAGGGAATGACATTTCAGGACATGTAGCACGCTAGGGAATGACATTTCAGGACATGTAGCACGCTAGGGAATGACATTTCAGGACATGTAGCAATCTAGGGATTGACATTTCAGGACATGTAGCAAGCTAGGGAATGGCATTTCAGGACATGCAGCAAGCTAGGTATTGACATTTCAGGACATGTAGCAAGCTAGGGAATGACATTTCATGACATGTTGTAGCAAGCTAGGGAATGACATTTCAGGACATTTTGTAGCAAGCTAGGGAATGGCATTTCAGGACATGCAGCAAGCTAGGTATTGACATTTCAGGACATGTAGCAAGCTAGGGATTGACATTTCAGGACATGTAGCAAGCTAGGGATTGACATTTCAGGACATGTAGCAAGCTAGGGATTGACATTTCAGGACATGTAGCAAGCTAGGGATTGACATTTCAGGACATGTAGCAAGCTAGGGAATGGCATTTCAGGACATGTAGCAAGCTAGGTATTGACATTTCAGGACATGTAGCAAGCTAGGGAATGACATTTCATGACATGTTGTAGCAAGCTAGGGAATGACATTTCAGGACATGTAGTAAGCTAGGGAATGACATTTCAGGACATGTTGTAGCATGCTTGGGAATGACATTTCAGGACATGTAGCAAGCTATGGAATGACATTTCAGGACATGTAGCAAGCTAGGGAATGGCATTTCAGGACATGTAGCAAGCTAGGTATTGACATTTCAGGACATGTAGCAAGCTAGGGAATGGCATTTCAGGACATGCAGCAAGCTAGGTATTGACATTTCAGGACATGTAGCAAGCTAGGGAATGACATTTCGGGACATGTAGCAAGCTAGGGAATGACATTTCGGGACATGTAGCAAGCTAGGGAATGACATTTCATGACATGTTGTAGCAAGCTAGGGAATGACATTTCAGGCCATGTAGCAAGCTAGGGAATGACATTTCAGGACATGGAGCAAGCTAGGGAATGACATTTCAGGACATGTTGGAGCAAGCTAGGGAATGACATTTCAGGACATGTTGTAGCATGCTTGGGAATGACATTTCAGGACATGTAGCAAGCTGGGGAATGGCATTTCAGGACATGTAGCAAGCTAGGGAATGGCATTTCAGGACATGTAGCAAGCTAGGTATTGACATTTCAGGACATGTAGCAAGCTAGGGAATGACATTTCAGGACATGTAGCAAGCTAGGGAATGGCATTTCAGGACATGTAGCAAGCTAGGTATTGACATTTCAGGACATGTAGCAAGCTAGGGATTGTTTAACTTCAAATGTTGCCACCTGCATGGTTACAATCTATTCATGTCTAAACTGAGTTTGTATGTTAATTATGTGTGGGAGGTTTCCATTGTTATCAAGGTTGTACTTCATCACTGCATGTTGATATGTGGTTGATGTAAAACATCATGTTTTTATTTTGATTAAATGTTCACATTTTACATCAAAGTCTTCTGTTCTGTTTTATTGCAAAATGTATTGGTATTTCTTGATAACTTTCTAAATATTTTGTGAACTTGTCTGAATTAAACTTTCCAAATATTCCCAAAAGACAAAATTTCCCCATATTGACGATGCATTAAATTTGACCTGCTAAAATATTCTACAAATCTATCATAGTGACACGTATTATGAAATTGTTCCACTCATCAATAGGTATAGCTATTATTGGGTGTGTCATGTGAATAGTTTTGCCTTGAAATTAGTGGAAATCGATAACAAGGAATGTTGTCGGTAAATACAGGTGTAGATGAAATCATAAAAATATTCTTTCATGCCCAAGGGTATAGGATAGGGAAATTCCACCCTCCAGATTTTCAAATTTGGCAAGAAGCCTCGGGTTGGTGGATTCCCTGAACACCAACTCTGCTTAAAAAAACATGGTTACATGGGTGGTCAGTTGTGATAATATGGAGTTATTGCAGAAATGGTGTACAGGTAAATTGCACAGGTAAATCAACTGTTGTTGGTATTCGGGGAAGACCCCAATCAACTTCTGATAACTAATCAGATAATCAATAACTGCTAATAATTGCAAATTCCAAATTCCAATCCCAAGCTGTGAAATGGGTAATGTATAAAACAGCAGCACATTTTGGAGAAATATCATATTTTCGCTCTGTACTTTGAGGCTTTGTATTCAGATTTTGCCATTGTTTTAGTTAAACTTGTACTTTTTAGCTCACCTGGCACGAAGGGTGATGATATTTGGCCAGTAGTATCCTGGGATGAAGGGCTACCAAGTTTGTTCAAATAAATGACCTTCACCCATTTTCAAGGTCACAGGGGTCAATTGTCTTAAAAATCTTTAAACAACTTCTTCTGAATAACTTAGAGGTCTAGGATAATGATATTTAGGCAGTAGCATGCTAGGATAAAGGGCTACTAAGTTTTGTTAAAACGAATGACCTTTACCTATATTCAAGGTCACAGGGGTCAAATATGTTTAAAATCTTTAAACAACTTCTTCTGAATAACCAAGAAGCCTAGGACAATGATATTTGGCCAGTAACATGCTGGGATAAAGGGCTACCAAGTTTGTTCAAACAAATGACCTAAACCTATTTTCAAGGTCACAGGGGTCAAATATGTTTAAACCTTTAAATAGCTTCTCCTGAATATCCAAGAGGCATAGGCTAATGACATTTGGCCAGTAACATGCTGAGATGAAAGGCTACCAAGTTTGTTCAAACAAACGACCTTCACCTATTTTCAAGGTCACAGGGGTCAAATATGTTTAAAACCTTTAAATAACTTCTCCTGAATATCCAAGAGTCATAGGCTCATATTCAAGGTCACAGGGATCAAATATGTTTAAATCTTTAAATGACTTGTTCTGGATATTCAAAAGGTCCAGGATAATGATATTTAGCCAGAAATATGCTGGGACGGAAGGCTATAAACTTTCAAGTTCGCAGGCGTCATATGTTTAATTCATTTAATAGATTCAAATGGATCGAAGACAGATATTTTGCCTGTAGCTGTATATTAGTCCACTTTTAAGATGACAAGTGTGAGATTAATACCAGGTGAGCGATTCAGGCCCATTGGGCCTCTTGTTTCAAATTTGTGTGAATTATCATATACTTATTACAAATGGCCCAGAGGGCCTGTATCGCTCATCTGGATACCTAAGCAATCATGGCAAAATATTCTCCAAATGAGATCAAGGGAATATGCCAGACCCCAAGGCCAATCCTTGTAGCATATCTGTATCAGACTTTTCATGCCCAGCAATGTTATGTATGGTTATGGGGTGGGAATCTCAACTGTTTCCAAGCATTTTTTTAAGTCTCCAAGGGTGGGGCAGTCCCCAAGGCCATCCTTGAAGCATATGTGCAATCATCTCTTTNTTCTTTTTGCCCAGCATTTTTTTTATATAGTTTTGGGGTGGGGATCTCAACCGTTTCAAAGTTATGACCCAGGGGTTAAGGCTCCAAGGGTGGGGCAGTCCCCAAGGCCATCCTTGAAGCATATGTCCAATCATCTCTTTATACTCAGCAATTGTATATACGGTTATAAGGTGGGCCTCTCAACTGTTTCCAAGCTTTGACTAAGAAACTAGGTCCCTAGGGGTTTGGTCAGACCCTAGGGTCTATTCTGATATCATGACTGCATTCGTCTCTTTATGCCCAGCATTTGTATATATTGTTTTGGGGTGGGGATCTCAACAGTTTTAAAGTTATGGCCCAGGGACTATGTCTCCAAGGGTGGGGTCAGACCCTAGGGCCATCCTGGAAGCAAATGTGCATTCTTCTCTTTATACAATTTTGAATTCCTGCCTTCCATGAATGCTTCTGACCAAATGTGATCAATATCCATGGCATAGTTCTACAAAAGAAGTCGTTCATAGCAATATAGCCAAATTGGCCCCAGCCCTGAGCCCCCTGGGGGGTCAGCCCCACCATTTGTACAATTTTGAATTTCCACCACCTAGGGAAGCTTCCAGTCAAATATGGTTGATATCCATCTCTTAGTTCCAGAGAAGAAGTCGCTTAAAGCAGTATAGCCAAATTGACCCCTTTTTGCCCCGCCCCTCAGCCCTCTGCGGGGTCAGCCCCACCATTTGTACAATTTTGAATCCCCTCCACCTAGGGGTGCTTCCAGTCAAATATGGTTGATATCCACTTCTTGGTTCCAGAGAAGAAGTCGCTTAAAGCAATACAGCCAAATTGCCCCCTTTTGGCCCCGCCCTTCAGCCCCCTGGGGGGTCAGCACCACCATTTGTACAATTTGAATCCCCACCACCTAGGGATGCTTTCAGTCAAATTTAGTTGAATTCCAATCAGTGGTTAAGAAGAAGAAGTCGTTTAAAGACGGACGGACGGATAGTATAACATTTAACTTATAGGTGTATTAATGTAAAAGTTTAACAGGTAAATGTCTGTAAATGGTTTATGTTATATACCATTACAACAGAGAATTGTCATAACCTCGAAAATTAATATCCATGACAGAGTTTGAGAATCTAAAACCACAAAAAGAAAGTACAACGTACCAAGAAATGTTTCATGTTGTACTTTGTCACCTGTTTACTGTTTTATCCAGTATTTTTACGTATTAAGTCATATTCTATCAGTATTGTGACACTAAATGATGACCTCACATTAAAATTATATATAACAACATTAATAATGGAGACAATAGACCTATCTGTACAGAGAAAAGACAGCGTAATTTTAGATTTTATAAGAATGACCTGTTTTTTTTTGTTTTTTTTACATAACGTTTGCAAAAATCCTGTTGACCATGTGATCAAGAACTTTGTTCTTTTAATGTCTACATTTCAGATTGATAACGCTTTTCACCAATTTTTAGCTCACCTGGTCCGAAGGACCATGGTGAGCTTATGCCATACCGCAGCGTCCATCGTCTGTCCTTCCGTCCGTCAACTTTTCCTTTAAAACGCCCTAGTCCTGAACAGCCAAGTAGATTTTGACTAAATTTGGTCTGGAGCTGAGCATACTTAGGCCAAGGTAACTCAATTTTGTATAAATGGTGGGTGTGGCCCCCCTGGGGGCTGAGCCATATAGGGGAAATAGAGGTAAAACCTTTAAAATCCTTCTTCTACCGTAGGGATTAAGGGATTTTATCCTAATTAAGTCTGGAGCATCCTTGGGCCAAGAGGACTCAATTTTGTATAAACTGTGGGTCTGGCCCCCCTGGGGGCTGAGGGGCGGGCCCAATAGAAGAAATATAGCAAATTCTTTAAAATCCTTCTTATTCTGAAGGAATAAAAGGATTTGGTCCATAATTGGTCTGAAGCATTCTTGGGTGAAGGGGAACCAATTTTGTATAAACCGTGGGGCTGGGGGCTGGGGGCTGTGGGGCGGGGCCCAATAGGGGAAATATAGCAAATTCTTTAAAATCCTTCATCTTCTGTAGGAATGAAAGGATTTGTTTCATATTTCGTCAGAAGCATCCTTGGGTGAAGGGGAACCAGTTTTGTATAAATGGTGGGTATGGCCCCCCTGGGGGCTGAGCTAATAGGGGAAATATAGCAAATTCTTTAAAATCCTTCTTCTTCTGTAGGAATGAAAGGATTTGGTCCATATTTGGTATGGAGCATCCTTTTGTAAAGGGGAACCAATTTTGTATAAACAGTGGGTGTGGCTCCCCCTGGGACCTGAGTGGCGGGTGAAAATAGGTGAAATAGAAGTAAAACCATTATAATCCTTCTTCTACCATAGGGATTAAGGGATTTTATCCTAATCTAGTCTGGAGCATCCTTGGACAAAAGGGACTCAATTTCGTATAAACAGCGAGTGTGGCCCCCCGGGGGGCAGAAGGAAGGGGCCCAATAGGGAAAACATAGCAAATTCTTCAAATACCTTCTCCTTCTGTACGAAAGACAGGATTTTGTCCAAATTTGGTATGAAGCATCCTTGTGTGAAGGGGAACCAGTTTTGTATAAACGGTGTGTCTAACCCCCCAGGAGGAAGATAGGCGGGGCCGAATAGGGGAAATAGAGGTAAAACCTTTAAAATCTTTCTTCTACCATTTTATCCTAATTTAGTCTGGAGCATCCTTCGGCCAAGAGGACTCAATTTTGTATAAACGGTGGGTATGACCCCCCTAGGGGCATAGGGGTGGGGCTCTGCTTGAAGTTTGTTCTTGCTATATCTCAAGTTCTGGATAGATCTTTTTGAAATTTCATATGTACTTACAGCACCTACCATGGAGTGCGATAAACCTTTACTTCATACCAAATATTTTTAAACATATTCAAGTGAGCGATACAGGCCCCCTGGGGATCTTGTTTATTTCTGCTAGCCAGAGGAAAGCAGGGTTGAAAATAATTTTAGACTTTTCTCATAAATCTCTCAAATGAAAACTAATTTATGTATCAAATGTAACCTACCAAAACAGTGATATGTGTATGTATGGCCACCATTGTGTTAACTGTTAACATTGCTGTATTTCCACAAGATAATATAAATGT